AAAAAAAAAGAATGTATATAATTTCCTTTTTTTTTTTTTTTCTTCCGTTTATTTAGTGTTGTTTTGTAGGCAGTTTTAAATTGTTCGCCAAGTTTATGAAGGAAAGTTGGATTGGAAAACTAACATTTATTTCTGTATTTACTATTCGTTGTTTTTGTTTCATAGGCATTGTTCAAACAAAGAATACAGATCACTCTCTGTGAATACCATAGGTATTTTAAAAGTATAAAACCTAAAAAACAGTAGATTAGGTTTTAAAATTAGCATAATGGGCAGATAAAGATAGAAACATTTTTTTTTAATGCAATTACAGCACTATTTTTGCTAATTCTTAAAAACACTTTTTTAACTACTTCAAATTTTTTTATACTGTTTTTTCCTTTTCCACTTGATAACACTTCTTTCTTCTCTCTTTTCGTCATCTTTGAAATTTTTCTGCTTATTAATACTGCTTTTTTTTTTTACTACTTTTGTAATAAACATTTGTTGAATTTTCTGATAATGATAAACTGATTACTTTTTATTTTATTTATATCTCTTTTTTTTTTTATGACTACAGAAATCCGTCACCATTCTTTTGGATTCCAATTGTCGTAACTTTGGTCAGTAGCGTTGGTTTGATACGATTTCGTGAAGAAAATCGTATTTGGTATTTGTACAGCCCAAAAAGTGCACCGTCACACTATGAACACGCTGTTGCACAAAGTTTTTTCCAGGAAAGTGGTGGCAAATTTTGGGTTGAGGTAAAAACTTTTTTCCATTTAACAACTTTTTTTTTTTTCTTCTTTTATTTTTTTTTTGTTTATCTTTTTTCTGGTTTTTTTTTTCTTCCATTTTTTCTTTTTTTTTTTCTTTCTTCTCAAAACTATTACATTGGTTGAGACTATTTTGTTGGCAAAGTAGAGCAGAAAAAAGGAAGAAAAACAGGAGACAAAAGAAAGAATAAATAATAAAAAAAAAACGTAAAAAAAATAAAAGTTTTGTTAGGAATCAAAAAAAAAAAGAATTAAAGCAATTCTTTTTTTTTTTCCTTTCTTTTTTGTTGTTGTTCGTGTAGACAATTTACTTAATTGATTGAATAGAGGAAAACAGGAAAAAGTAAATTTTTTTTTTCAATGTCTTTAAATATGTTTTTTTTTGTTGATCATTTTTATCGGTTAATCAGCAAACAATATGTGTTTGATGTTTGAGCACTGATAAAGCAGATAGCTGTAGCTGATTAATTGACTTCTACAGCTGAAACTCTACAAAAATTGTCTCTGGAAATTTGTCTTCTGTTTCACTGTTCTCAAGATTATCTTTTTTTTTTTTTGATTTTAGAGAAGAGAAACAGGGATAAGCTTTTTTTTTCCCCGCAGCTTTATTTCCTTAGAAAAGCTATCAATTTTTTGTTATGATTGAAGTTTATGAAAAAATAAAGCCAATTAACGGCATAATGTTGGAAATAATAAAGTTTTCTTGTCATATATTCCGTTGTTTAGACCAATGATAAAGATTTAATGTCTGTTTAAGTGTGGCAAACAAAAGTTTTGCGGTTTTTTTTGAGAAAAATTTTAGCTAACTGTTTATGAAGGGAACAAAATTTACAAAAGTATATCCATTGTCAATTTTGAATAATGGTCACTATTTTTTATTGCTTTCCAATTTTCTTCTTCTTCTTCTTTGCTATTTATCTTTTTCGTTGTCTTCAAATTAAGTTTCAAGTTTCCCTCTCTCAGAACTGACTAATGTACAGCACTGAATGATTGCTTTACGGATGTCAGCGTAATCAGTGATGTGTTACGCCGTAAATTTCAGTTTCTTTCTATGATTTTACCCCTTTTTTTCAATTAACAACTTTTATCTTCTCTTTCTTTTTTCTTCTCTTTTTTTTTATTTGGTAAAAATTATATTTTTTTAAAAATTTATCTTTTTTTTTTTTAATTTTTGCTCAATTTTTTTTGGTAAAAAGAACAGGAGGAAGACAAAAAAAGCAGCTTTTAAATAACTTCAGGCTTTTATTAATGATTTCCAAATTTGTTATCAGATATAAAGAAAAAAAAATTTTTGGCAGGGGA